ACTTACTCATAATATGGCAGTACCTAACCACCTAGTTAACCTAATAAGAAATCTGTATAATAAAAACTCAGCCAAAGTTAAAGTACATGGAATATATTCAAATGCATTCAAAAGAGAGAAAGGAACTAGACAAGGTTGCATACTATCACCATTATTGTACTATATATATTCTGAATATATAATGAGAAAAGTACTAGATGAATGGGATGGAGGAATCACTATAGTAGGCAGAAAAATCAGTAACCTGCGATACGCAGATGACACACTTATACTAGCAGCGAATGAAGTCGAAATGATTACCATCATCGAACGGCTAAACCGAATAAGTGAAGAATTCGGACTTCAAATCAACACCGGAAAAACAAAAAATAATGATTGTAGACAGAGCAAATAATAATCTACCTCATATACGCCAAATAAGGATTTTCAAAGTAGTCCATAGATTTGTATACTTGGGCTCTCTGATAACCAACAATGGTGATTGTTCCTCAGAAATCAAACGTAGACTAGGAATGGCCCGAACCGCAACTGTTAAATTAATTAAAATATGGAAAGACCGAACAATAACAAGGAATACTAAGCTCAGGTTGGTCAATGCCCTTATTTTTCCCATTGCTACATATGCAGCTGAAACATGGACTCTCAAAAAAATCGATAGGAGTAAGATCGAAGCCTTCGAAATGTGGGTATATAGAAGAATTCCACGCATGTCCTGGACAGAACATAAAACCAACCTGTTAATTCTGGAAGAGCTTCATATAAAAGACAGGCTACTAAAAAAAGTAAACCAAGCATTCCTAACTTACTTCGGCCACATAGCTAGAAAAACGTGCACCATGGAACTATTGGTAGTAGAAGGAAAGGTAGAAGACCGAAGACCAAGAGGAAGATCTCCAATACGATGGGTAGACCAAATGAAGAGTTTCGTGGGAAAATCCCTACATGAAGCCGTCCATATGGCACAAGATCGCAGACAATGGAGACAGCAGACTAACAATATTTAGGGTGTCACTACGCCCTGACAAGGGCTAAAGGATTGAGAAAAAGGACTCATAATCAGTTTAGTTTAACTATCTAGACGACCGGTTTCGCTTTCTACAATATACAAAGCATCTTCAGGTCTGTCGATACAAAGTTAAATAAATGCTGAAGTAATAAAACCCACATTAGGGTGTTGTCTTATAAATGAATTACATGTCTGTGGTTTTTCAAAAAATGAATAAACTGTTTAAGCAGACAAAGTAAGACCTACAAATTGGTATAAAAATAGTCTATTGAATTGTAATAAATTAGTAAACAAAACATTACTTACATGCCAGTACTCTATTAATTATAAATTAATAATTAAGAGGACTCAATGATTGTGTTGTTTTGTAGATATTTTTGATCGGTTTAATTATTCCTATATATGTATATATATATATATATATATATATATATATATATATATATATATATAATATAACATTAATTAAATTAAATTGATTTATTGCTTTGAGGCATTGATTCCTAATCCCGAAAATCTAAAAATTACGTTTTCAAAATATTCTGAAATAAAAATAACGAAAACGATGTTTATGTTTATGATAAACTTCTTCGTTAACATTAATCCATTAAAGATAGCATGTTTATAATTTTTATTTCAGGATTTTTTGAAAACGTTTTCAGGAAACGTCTAATCGAAACGTTAAAATAAGATAACAATGTAGATTTATTTAAAAGTAGGTAATTATAGTTTAATTTTTTAACAAATATGTTTAAACTGTAAATGTAAACTTTAATCATCCTGTATATCAGTCATGCCAATATCAACAAAATGTATCACTAGCGATTATAGAAACATTTAGCTTTAAAATTGAATGACGAATTGCTGACAGATTACTTTGTTCATACACTGTGATCCTTATAAATTGCCACAACTAGTCAATACATAAATTTAGTTAAGTACTTGATTCTAGAAATATTAAATTTAATGTAGCAAAAAAATTAATCATTATTTATAAATGGCTAATAACTGCCCTAAAAGGATCGCTCTTATATATTGCAAAGTAGACAATATAATTTCTAGGAAACCAATTAATGTCATTCTACAGTAAAATGGTATAACAAATATTATCACTGTTCAAAAAAATTAACAAAAATATTAAAAAAATTTTTACAAAACTTGGAATCGTTTCTATTTAATTTTTTGTTAAAAAAGTAAATAAAATACTTCAAATCAAAAGTGATCACTTGGTTAAAAGAAAATCAAAATTTGTGTAAATAAACGTCCAATAGTTAATATCAAGAATTTTACCTAACCAATATATTTTTTCCAAGTTATTAGATTTACTTCAGCGATTACTGAAGCTAGTAATCGATTAACGTCATGCCCTTAAAATTTAAAGGCACCATAGAGTAGGGATGGCGGTTTTTGACAAAACACCGGTTTTAGGTTATACCGTTTTTTTTTGCTTACGGTTTAACCTGGCAGTTATAACCGGCCAAAAAAAAAAACGGTTTTCCAAAAACCGGTTTTCGATTTTTTTAATCAAATAGATTAAAAAGTTACATTTAGAATGCACTTTAGTTTGCGATACTACATTTGACTCGATATCAATATGATCAAAATTAGTACTATCGAAAGAACATCAATATCAATGTAAATACAACACAATTTTTTGTGTTTTGTGAGAAAAAAACAAAAACAAACAAAAATTTTCCAGACTCTTTCAAATGGGATTTAAAGAAAATAATATCAACATAAATATTTTACTTAAAAATTAATTGGATAATGCAATTCATATTTTATGTTTACTACCATCAAAAAAAATTATCATATTACTTCTCATTTACGACTTCCGATATGGTTATAAATCGTTTTGAAAACGTAGAGAAATCCTTGGAAATTCGTATTCGTAATCGGTAATTCGATATTCATAGTCATTATTTTTGGTAATTAGAAAAAGCCATTCACCCACTTTCAATGTCAAGAGTCAAGTATGAAAAATAGATTATGTATAAATACCAGATTAGTTCTTATGTGAAAATATTATGATAACAAATACTGTTCAACGAAATACTATAATAAAATTTAATTGTTTCTGGCTGATGTGAGTTTGCACTTTCAGTTTGCTTCTGTATTTATAAAATAAAATAAAAATTGAATTTTAGTTTTGTTTGGAATAATTACTTGAGAATAATAATTATGATTGGGTATGATCCAAAATAATACCTAACCTAATCCTAATCACTGTAAAAACCTAATAACCGGTTTTTACTTTAAAAATAAAAAACCAGTTATAACCGGGACAAAAAAACAACCGATATAACCAGTTATTTCGAAGTAAAAAACCGGTTTTCGGTTAAAACCAGTAGGTTTTCCCATCCCTATCATAGAGGTCAATAAACCTCATACTGAAATACTTTATTCTTTTTTTTTATTAACCATGTAGTATCTTTGGAGTACTGATTTAAACGCCAAAACTTAATGTTATGTTATTTTAAATAATACATGACGTATACAATAATTTGAATTTTTCCATATTAAATACCTACATTGCATATTTTTATTATTTTTATTTAACTATGTTTATTATTTTGCAGGTTCTGGTGGTATGCTTGGTGAAATTACAATGGTTCAACTGTATAAAGTAGCTCTTACTGCTGGTAAAGCACACAAAGACCATAAACACCATCACGCACATCAATTTGATCACAACGGAAGAGCTATAACCACCCCAGCGCCAACTACGCCGGCAAGCAGAGCAGCCTTACCCCAGCATCCCCTTCTCACTTCCGGACAACTTAATAAAAACATCCGACTTAATTTCGCAGGAGGCGACCAGCCACAAGTGGTACCAGGTCAACAATTTGATGCCCAGTTTGCCAACGGGCAATTTGTAGGTAACCTGGTTACGCAACAGTTACTGCAAACACAACAAAAATTGCAGCCCCAACCGCAATTACAACCTCAACCACAGCCTCAATCCCAACTACAACCACAAACTCTATTTTTACCAGCCCCACCCCAATCTTCCAGTAATGATGTAGGGTCCTTTTCACGACAATATGTTAGTTTTGGAAACTCTCCAATCGTTGACAATGATTTTAATCATGCTTTGGGGACTAACGCAGCACCTCCATACGATGCTGCTCTAGAAACTCACAATGTTTTTAAAAGGCACAGTAGTAGTAATAGTAACAAAAAAGTTTCTATTAAACAAAAAAAGAGACAGACAATAGGCGGTAGCTTCTTTGAAGATTCTATCTTAGATAACCGCGGTGCATCTTATAATTTCGACCAAAGTCTTTTATATGGTTTAGCCGGTATAGGACAAAATGAGCAAATTTCCGAAAAACAAAAAGAAACAATAGACGAAAGGGAGCCAGCAGAAGCAGAAGTTTAAAGCAGTTCTTAATGTATGTACAGGGTGTGACGAAGAACCATTCGGAAAGGCCTTAATTTTTGGTTGGAGGACTGTACCTAAGAAGTTATATTCTGGTGCCTTTTACACGCCTGCTGTGTCTGAATGCAAAGTGTTTTAAAATTTATAGAAACATTTTTGTAAATACGTCATTTTAACTCACTGCCATCGAAACGTTAGACAGTAAATTCTTAGTATTATTAATTTAGTATTTATACTTTGTTATTTTTTTTTATTAAATGTTAATAAAATTATATCTGCCAGAACAAAATGTTCTTATTAAATAAAATAAATTATTAATAAATGGACAAAAAAGGGTAATAAAAAAAAAGCTTAAACAAGTATACTATGTACTGTTAGGATTTTTACGAAAGTGCGACCTTTCTTTATTAAATAAATATTAGAATGTAATTTATACATGAAACCAATAATAAACATGTTTATAAATTATTTGGAATATCTGCTGTAAGAAGTATGTAAACGGGTACCCATGATCCGTTTATAAAAAAAATGGAGTACATATCCTTAGAAAAACAATTTCATATTTAAATTTTTCAAAAATATGACAATATATATTATTGTAAAATTTCCATATTAATTTAGGACCTAATTAAAAATAAGAAACTGTATATAAGTGTCAGGTTAACTCAACAAAAAATATGTATCAAGAAGAGTTGTTTACCTACCTTGCTTTTGTGGATATGCTGATGCTGGTACTCCGAGTCGAACTCCGGTTCAGAAAAGTAACTAGGATCTTCAAAGTGCCCAACTCCACCGGCAATGCCAATACCAGCCATTGGAAGACCACCGGAAACATCGGCAGATTCGAATAGCCTAAGTACTGATCGATCTCTAATTTCTCGAAGGTGGGATCTAAAAGATTTTTAAAATTTAAGAGTGGTTATAACTGATGGTTAACATTAGTAATATATTATTTATTATCTTACTGAAAATATTGTTAACTTAGGAAAATATTTCTATATTAGGTATGTTTTTAAAATAAGTAGAAGTACCGTTCCACTAGAAATAAAACAACACATTTATATATTATTTATTTTTTTAATTATTTGTTGCTATGAAAGCCCCTATTTCCATATACAGTGGTACCTCGACATACTAACGAGTTTAATTCGTACCATAACCTTGCTCGTAGGTCAAATTGCTCGTATCTCAAAGCAATTGCTCATTTTTACCTGCACCCAAACTTAAAAAAACTGTTCTAAGAAATCCACAAGGAATCTACGTTCCTGTAATTGGCTGTATACCATATATTAAAATTTTTTTATTAAAAAACCTTTATAAAAGGTATATATTTAAAATGCCCCAACGGGCTAATTAGACAAAACATTTTCGGAATTCATATACCATCATCAGTGTCTAGGAGTACATGAATGTAGCCACTAAATATATGGGTAAAATCCCGTAAACAAATAATTAGTTACATTTGGTTTACAGCATTTCTTATAATATGTTAAGATGTTAAAGTTATTGTTGGATAAGGTAACATGGCGACATACAGGCTAACATACTACAACTACATGGCTAACTCTTGCTTCCATACAGTTGCTCCTGCTTCAATACTATAAACAAATTCAAAAACAAAATTTTTTCCAATTCTTCAACAATACTTAATACCAATACACCCTCATCTTCTAACTTTTCCTCCATTCAAAATTTTTATTCTACACCTAATTTTCATAAGCTTTCTCAAAACAAACGCAACGAACACCTCAGGACCCTCAAATACGTTAAGAATAAAATCAAATCCTACAACTTAATCATCAGTAAAGCTGACAAAGGTAACTGTCTAGCGATCTTAGATCAAACATCATATAATAATAAAGTTTCAACTTTCCTCAACAACAATAACTTCACTTTACTTACAACAGACTTCTCAAAAAAGTTCATAAATAAATTAAAAGACAATATTAAACATTTCACATACTTCTTCTCAGGACATTTTAAACCATATTATAAAATCCCAAGCAACCTTTGATAACCAGACTGTACGGTCTACTAAGATACACAAAGAGGGCATTCCCATTCGTCCAGTTGTTAGTTTCTCTAGTTTCCATCTTATCACAATTTATATTGAATCTTATTAACAACATGACGAACTTCACCGCTCGATTTTCACTCAAAAATACTAGTCATCTAGTCAATAACTTACAACACATTAATCTTCACCCTAACATTACTATGCTTTCATTTGATGTTAGCAATCTATTCACGTCTGTCCCTAAACAAGAAACAATTAATCTGGTTCATTCTCTTCTCATAACCAACTCCATTACCTTATCTACCACTTACTCCATTATCCAACTACTACAACTTTGTTTAGATCAATATTTTTTTGTTTTTAATAATAAATACTATAGACAACCTGATGGCTTAGCCATGGGTAGCTGTTTATCTCCTCTATTAGCTGATGTATTTATGGATCATTTGGAATCCACACAGATCATGAAAAACCCTGAAATACTCCATTGGTTTTGCTATGTTAACGACTGTTTAGTCTTCATTTCAGGTAATTCCAATTCAGCTGAACTTTTATTTTCGAAAATTAACTAAATTCACCCCAGTATGAAGTTTACAATGGAACTAGAATCATCCATGTCAATCAATTTTCTTGATCTCACCATTACCAGACTAAATGACCACTTCGACTTCAGTATCTACAGGAAACCTACACAGACTGACCACATAATTCCATTTTCATCCAACCACCCCATCTCGCATAAATACGCAGCTTTTCAGAGTTACATCCATCGCCTAGAAACCATTCCACTTTTAAACTTAAACTACAAAAAAGAATTTAACATACTTAGACAAATAGCAGTCAACAATGGATATGATCACAACATCATCAACAAACTCATCCGCAAAAAAACGCCTTAAGACCCTACAGGAGACTGCGTTCCCCAGAGATCTCACCACCAAGCCCAATTACGTTTCACTTCCATACTATCATGAAAGTTCTTCTGGAGATATTCGAAATCTCATCCAATGAGAGTTGCTTCCATACAGTCTTCGTAGACACACCGTCTCAGGACTAGCAACTTCAACGTGGAGTCATATGTCGCCATGTTACCTTATCCAACGGTAACTTTAACATCTAAACATATTATAAGAAATACTGTAAACCAAATGTAACTAATTATTTGTTAACGGGTTTTACCCATATATTTAGTGGCTACATTCATGTACTCCTAGACACTGATGTTGGAATATGGATTTCGAAAACGTTTTGTCTAATTAGCCCGTTCAGGTTTTTAGATATATACCTTTTATAAATGTTTAAAAGCACAACTCTACAGCTTTCTTCCACATCTCCAAGATCTCCTTTATATCTCTTGTAGAGATAATCTATTTCTAATCTATTTCTCTGGCGCCTCTTCAAAATCAATTTTTAGTTAAACCACCGTATGCTGCTGCGAATGTAGATCCTGCAACTTTTCTACTGTCAACTCCTGATACTGTTCCTCGACGAGTTCATTACATCCCTCTCATCCACCTCCAGATTCATGGATTTTTCGATAGAAACAATATCCTCTATTACAGATACTTCGGGACCAATCTTTCGCATGCCCTTTCAGCTACAGCCTCAGACCACAGGAGTTGAAGGTCCTTGTTGTAAAACCCCTCGAAGGGTAAGGTTTGTGTTCAGGGCCACCTTAAATCAGCGCCAAAAAATACGATTTATGTACAATTTCTTAAAATTAGAAATCATCTGCTGATCCAGGGATTGCAGAAGTGGTGTTGGGTGGTAGGTAGAAAACCTTTATAAACTTGAACACTTCAGTTAAATCATCTTTAAAGATTTGGTAGATGGACAGGAGTCTTATTTAGAACGAGAAGGGCTTGATTGGGTAGGTTGTTTTATTGTAGATATTTTTTTACAGAAGAGTCAAACACCAGGTTAATAAAGCACGCACTATTAATTCGAAAAAAATGGATATGCTCTCTTGGTTGACAGAAAAAAATTTATCATTTGTAACATTAATGTTAAAACAGCAATTGTATGAAATCATCAAACGACACAAACAAGATCATATTCAATATAAATTTGACAAACTTCTCTAAGAATGTGAGCATGTTTTTTTAAAACTTTCGCCATATCATCCAGACTTGAACCATATAGGAATGGTTAGGACGCAAATAAGAAATGAAGTTGCAAAATAAAACATTTATTTTAAGTTACAAGATGTAAAAGTGTTGGTGGAATAGGAATTTGCTAGAGTAACTGTAGATAACTTGAAGAAAGTGTGTGAACATGTTGTCAAGATAAGTATTGGAAAGTGAACGTCGCATAGATGTAATAACTGAAGAATTAAGCATTGATTTAAATAATTCTAGTGACGACGACAGTGCATCTGATTATGAGAGTAAATAATATAATTTAACATTACGATGTACATATGTAACCTGTATGTATGTATTATGTTTTTACTTTATTACAATCATTTCGTATATTCTTCTTTGTGACGTTTAAGTGCCTATCTTTAAAATTTAAATTGGGTGTACCTATGTGATTTAAATCATAAGTATTTTTTGGAACGCCACTGCTTTGTTTGGTGAGTCTTTACTGTTCCTAGAAATTTCCGCCACTACAGTTGAAACATACATTAGAAATAGTTATCTTGGCTTACGCAAATCCAGAAATAGAGTTGTTTCTTTGATATAATATTATTGGTATAGAGCAAAACGATAATCCTTAAGATTTAATAATTAAGAATAACAGAAATACTAATAACAAGTAATACTGTTAGTTAAAAACTGTAGAAAATTTCTCTAATAGTATTAGTATGCACTTCGGTCTTGACAAGTGCCATGTCTTAAATATAATCAAAGTAAAGATTCAGCCGAACGCAAGCGCGAAGGATTGTCCATAAGCAAATAAAAACTGAGATAACCACGGAGTTTATACGACGGGTAAATCAGCTGCTTCGTTCACAGCTTGACAGTAAAAATTAATTTAAGGCATTAAACGTCTACGCATGTTCCGCGTTTAGCTACTGATTTTGTATTTTTAAGTAGACAAAAATGAATATTTAAAAAATATTAAAAATTACGAATACATCCCACAAAGTTATAAAAACACTATCCTCGAAATTCAGTAGAAAGGACGACATTAAAACGGTATTTAGGAGGACGGGGACTTATGGTTTCTTTTTGACCGATTGAGCGTTAAACGATCAAAAAAAATTGGCATTATAAACATTAGTGTTTAAAAATTAAGATGTCAAAAGATTTTGTAGACTAACTTTTTTTATAAAATGTTAATTTTTTCTTACCTAAGATCTTCTAATTCGTAAAACATATCTTTGGAAGAGTCATGGATATAAATTTTAACATTTGGCGAATCCAAATATTCCATTGTGAGTTGTTTCGGGAATGATCTGACAAATAAAGCCTTGACGGTGTCTATAGAGGTGATTTCGTTTGGCAACAAAGCTCGTTTGGTTTCGTTTCGATATTGAAGAAATACTAAACCTGAAATGAAAAATACCTATATAAGAATAGACAACTTTCGCTTGTAGTAAAATTATGTAAACATAGTAATCTAGTATTGAAATTATTGACATTTACGAAACAACAATAGAACAAAAATACAAGTAAATGTTTTAAATTTTACTTCAAACGTATTTGGTGTAAAAGATAAGATTTTTTATAAATATTTTATAATCACAGCATAATGAATAATGACAGTACATTTTCTTATATATGGTATGATTTTGATAAATGAGTTACAGTTCAATCTAGTTTACTAACGCCTTTAATAAATAATAGTAATAAACCAAATGGACGAGGAAATTCAGCACTAAAAAGAAATAAACGTACCAATTTTCCGTTGCAATATAAATCGCTATGCAACTTTGTGCATTTGATTAGGGAAAGAGTCAGGAAAATTCGCAAACAAAATTCATAGTATTAAAAAAATTGCATTTTGTGCATAAGTAAAATGCATTTCCAAAGTATATGGAAAATAAAAAATTTGCAACTCAAAAAATATCAACAGAAATGAGTTTGTAACGTTATAAACGTCATGTCTTTATTAATTTATTAATTCCTTTACGTTCAGTTTCTTTTTTACTATTTTTTCTTCAAAAAAGTAGTTCTTTCTCTTTCTTTATCTGTCCTGTAGAATAAATATTCACCTACTTTTTCTTTCTTTCCTCTCTCTTTCTTTTCGGTAGAATAGATGTTCGCCCTCTCTCTTTCTGTCCGCTAGTGAATATTCTATTTTATGTTCTAATACAGAAGAGCTAATTCCATCATAGGTATACATCCTCTGACATCTGTGCTAATCTTCATTGCAGTCCCTTCCTACTTTCTGTCAATCACTTTTCATGGAGGGAATAATATGTTTTGTCTACAATTGAAATTTATAAAAGAAGGTAGGAATTATTATAAGCTTCATTTTATGGTCTGCAAAAATATCTTGGGTTTTTTGGAGAATTTACTGAATTGGATAATTTCTAAAATAATAATAATATGCAGCAAAAGAATAACTGCCTGCAGTAGAGCCTACCCATATGCTCTGAAGGACCTAACACATGCTCTGGAGGACCTAATTACATAATCGAGAGTCTACATTTATTTAGAAGCAAGCAGCCCGTCGATGCCATAAAGCTTTAGGTAGGATTGTTTTTGCTTTATTTTATACGTTTAATAAATATGATTGAATAAATCATTGATTTATTTCTTCCCAGCTAAGTGGTTATTGTTTAATTTATAGTTTAAGACAAGACGGATTCACACTTGAGAGACTGAGCTAAGCGGAACATAGACGATAAGCTCCAATGAGTGATTGAGGTATTATTTTTATAACAGTATTCCAATTCTCTTTGGTAGTCGTAATCACCGTCGTAATATTCATGTTTAATAACACCAAAAAACCCCCCGAGTAGCGACTCTTGATTGATTTAAAATAAAAATAAAATAAAGCTCCAGAAGACGAAGTCCACCTTGTGGACCAGTTAGCTCGAGGACAATCCTCATTACATTCAGCGACCCCAAAAACCTCTTCAGTAAAAATAAACTAATTCATATCGATAGTTGCAAATTTTTCATTTTCTATGTACTTTAGAAATGCATTTTTCTTATCCTCAAAATGCAATTTGTATTTCATTTACCATCATGAATTTTGTTCACAAACTTTTTTGACACTTTCCGAATCGAATGCAAAAAGTTGCACAGCGATTCATCTTGCTGCTCAAAGTTGGTAGATTAAGTGTTTCATTTCTTCGCCCAAATGTAGAAACCTATATTTTTTATTTTCACAAAATTAGCAACATGTTTCAAATATAACATTGTACTCCACAAATGTTTCTTAATTATAAGAAAGCATATAAAACAATAAAAAAGTCAATAATAGAGCTAAGACAACTCATATTAAATAAAACGGTAAATTAAAATTTATGGAAGGAATAAATATTAGACACATTTAACATAGACAAAGTACTCATTTAGTGACTCATGGCTGAAGGAACATAATCTTCAGGGGTTTTAAATTACACATTTATAGGAGGTTATCAAATATTGGATAGCGCGTAGAAGATAGGAACTCATTTGGATAGTCCTATCAGGGGAGATGAATCAATCCCTACCCTCCGAAAATTCCAGGTGATTTCTGACAAGGTAAACTAGTACCTGCTTAGAGTCCCTTGTCCAGGGTCACTGATGAAGTGCACAACGACAGCCACGGCGGAGAAGAATACCTTCGGTACGGTGTGGATGGTGGAAGTGGTAATCCTTTGATTTTAGAGATTGTATAAAATCACTCACCAACTCGTCTAGCCAACGTGGTGTTTTAAGGCTAAAAACCTTCTAACAAGAATATGGCGATATCTAAAATAAAACGAGTGAGTCACCACGTGGGTAAACCATACAGAAATGATAAATTCCACACCTGTGGAAAAAAGGACAGCTTCATGGAATCTGGAGGAAGTAAAAAATCGCTAAAAACCACATGATTGCACATTGAAACACTAAATATAAGGTCCTTAAACAATGAAGAAAAGTGTACGAAGTCGAAGAAATCAAGGACTTAAAATAGGACATAATTGGTCTACCAAAGGTACAAAGAAAAGGAAAAGAGTGCATAACACTATAGTCCGGTAACGTCCTATATTACAAAGTGCGAGAATAACAAAGAATAGATGGCGTAGGATTTCTAGTTTCTGAGAAATATGCACATAAAGTAAAGCAATGATTAGGCTAAATGTAAACGAGAGTATCGTACAAGAGATAGATGCATTTTATGAGAAAATTGCAAAAATTAGCACGAATTATCAAAGCACGTATACGATAATAATAGGAGACTTCAACACTAAGATCGGAAAACGACTTGAAAAAACCGAAAACTATATAGAGCAATTCGGCTCTGGAGTTAGAAGTAAGAAAGATACAGCCTTCGTTAACTTCCTACAAGCCCACAAATACAATTCAATGAATACATTCTACAAAAAACTTCAAATAAAGTGTACGCGGCTATCCCTAGACGGAAAAACTCATAACGAAATAGAGTACAAACTGTGTAACAAAACAGATATCATCAACAGATAACAGTAATAAATACGGAGTCAGTAAGTAGAGGTTACCGAATCGTTAGCCAAATTGGATATAAAGCATAATAAAAATAGAAATAAATTTAGAAAAACTTGGAATATAGACACCGATAAACTAAAATATTATGCAGACCAATATATAAGTAACTTAAAACCCGTAAAAGTATTAAATGTAGATAAACTTAGCTTAAATGAAATCAATTAAGTCATAACAAAAGAACTATTAAATTCAAGCTTAGAAGTGGTAACTGCTACCAGAAAACGAAAATACAAAATAAGTGTAGAACCCTAAAACCTGCTGAAAAAAAGAAAAGATCTTCTAAGACAAAACAAAAAAGACACTGCAGAATTTAAGGAACTTAATTAAGTAATAAAAAACAGATAAAAGAGGACATTAAAAACTTTAAGAAGACCATATAGAATATGTCATAGAGAAAAAGCGAAGTCTCAAATGCACCAAACCGAAACTAGGAAAGAAAAACATAATAACCATTAAAAATGAAGAAGGACAACTATAAAAAAGTAAATCTGATATAGCAAACCCAATTAAACTAATTCCTCAAATCAGAACTTGAAAAGGCAGATAACAAATGTCAACTCAGAGGTGATGCCCGAAATAAGCCACGAAGAAATAGAAAGAGCAGTAAAAGAAATAAAGCTCCTGGAAGCGATGGAATCCTAACAGAAATGCTACAGGAAGGCGGAGAAGAAGCCATCAGATAACTAAAAATACTATTTAATAAATCTATATTCGAAGGCAACATACCCGAACAATGAAATACTACTAAAACAATACTAATACACAAAAAGGGAGACACTACAGATCTGAAAAATTATCAACCAATTTCACTTCTTTCACAACTTTAAAACCTTTAAGAAAATTATTAAAAATAGATTAACAATTTAATTTGACGGATATCAACCAGTAGAACAAGCCGGATTTAGAAAAGATAAACGCATCTGTGACCATATATAGACTTTGAAAATCCTAACAGAAAAGCTTAACGAATACAATCTCCCATTATTTCTGGCTTTTATAGATTGTGAAAAAGCTGTTGATAGCATAGAACTGTGGGCAATAGAAGAAGCATTAGTCAACAACCGGATCGACTTCAGTACAGAATAATAATACATAATATTTACGAACAAGCTGAGCTGAACTACGTTAAGTAATGGAATCGAAACAAGACCAGCAAAAATCAATCGAGGCGTAAGACAAGAAGACACAATATCTACAAAATTATTTACAGCTGCCTTAGAAAATATCTTTAAATTAATAGACTAAGAAAATATGAAAATTCCTAATAGGGGAAGCTCCTTGAACCATCTTAGATACGCAGATGATGTAGTACTAATAGCCAACACGTGGAATGCACTGAATACGATGATTGAGGAGCTACACACAGAATCCAAAAAAAAGGACTGAAAATGCATTTCAGCAAAACTAAACTAATGTCAAACAAAAATGACAAACATATGATAAACATGCAAGTGAAAGAGATAGAACATGTAGAGAAATATACATATCTGGGTCAAAATGTCAAGGTAAGCAAAGAAAATCAGACTACCGAAATAAGCAGGCGTGTAAAAATGGGGTAGGCAGTATTCGGAAGACTCTTATACGTACTTAAAAATAAAAATTTACCTCAAAGACTGCGATTTAAAGAGTTTAATTCCTGTATCTTACCTCTACTTACATATGGACCTGGACATTCACTAAAATAAACATGGAAAAGATGGTCAAAAAACTCAGAGAGCTATGGAACGACAGATGCCTCAAAGACCATAAAACCAATGAAGACATTCGTGATAGAAGAAAGAAAACCAATGAAGACATAAGTGAAAGATGTTGTCAAACAGGCATTTAAACTGAAATGGAAATAGGCTGGACAAAACGAACCTCTTAAGGATGGCTTGTTCCGT